ATCCCATCCCATCCCATCCCATCCCATCCCATCCCATCCCATCCCATTCCATTCCATTCCATTCCATTCTATTCTATTCTATTCTATTCTATTCTATTTTCTGCTGCTTTTCCCAAGCAGCTAGGCTGAGTCTAGCTACAATGAATCCTGAGGCAAAGTACCAGTGTTTAGCTCAGGTTGTTGGAGAATCAAAAAGACAGAGGCTTGTGGATGTGAACTGATTGATAGAATGGTGGCTGCAAGATAAGGTCAAAAAAGTCAAAATGTCAGCTGCAGCAGTGCCAAACAATCCCCGTTTTTCATTTATGTGCATTGTGAAGCTTTCATTGCACCATTGCAGGCTCCATCCTGACATTTTGGACCATATCCTGCATGAACAGAAATACATGCTGGGCTGTTATTAATGGGTTTGATTTCCCCACCCCACCCCAGGCATGACAGCTTCTGGAGAAAATGCTTTCTGTCCAATTCACGTGTCTTTCCTTCATCCCCATTTCCCAGGGAGAAACATTTTTCTGTGGCAAGGAATTGCAAGGGGAGCCCCATCACCCCTTGGGTCGCTTTGGGACCAGCATAGCAGAAGCTGGGGAAATTACCAGGGATCAGTGGACAGATGTGGCTGTCGGGGCACCACTGGAGGATGAGAATCAAGGAGCTGTGTACATCTTCCAGGGGCAGAGAAGATCCCTCAACCATGTTTTTAGCCAGGTGAGCCTTCAGCTACCCACATTCTTTTTCACTTCTCCGCCTCTCTATCTTCTGATTCTATGAGCTGTGGTGGTGCAGTGGTTAGAATGCAGTATTGCAGGCTGACTCTGCCTACAACCAGGAGTTCAATCCTTACCGGCTCAAGGTTGACTCAGCCTTCCATCCTTCTGAGGTTGGTAAAACAAGGACCCAGATTGTTGGGGGCAATAGGGTGACAGTCCCTCAAGTATTGGAAGACTGCTATCATGTCAACCCTGGTCCGTCTCTTTGTTAGATTAGACATGCCTACTTCCCTCAATTGTTCATTATATATATGATTGGAAGTATCTAGGCAACGTTTCGATGAAGTCTCATTCATCATCTTCAGGCTTGTGTCTTCTGCTCTGTGCTTCTCAGAGACTTCATCGAAACGTTGCCTAGATACTTCCAATCTTATGCAGGAGAAAACCCGAATAACCAAAGACCCATATATATATATATATA